ATAAGAAATAATTTTTTCAAGGAGATCAGGAGCAATTTTAGAAAGTCAGAAGTGAAAATGGACGCATTTCTGATAATTTTCACTCAAAATCATATTGGACCATTCTCTAGTGGAAACGGTTTTTCGTCCTTTAGGTTTTTTTTGCTCTTGTTCTAGACGCAACTAAAGTTCTTTTAGGATATTTAACTGAAAATTTTTGTTGAAAGTAAATAAAATAAGACTCCATACGCCCTTATCATTTCGTAATGTAACAAGGATTTTTGATAACAAAATTCTGCAAGGTCAGATCGTTTCTTATATTAAACGAAGGCAAATATATGTTGTATTAGCTCTCCCCTTATTTGTAATTTAAAAGAACATCAATTTCTGGCTGAAAGATGTCTTAATTTTTGTCTTGCGACTGTTCTTTGAGCATTTCTTTACATTTATTGATTTCCTCTATTTTTATCAACATAATAATACGAATACAAATACAAACAACCCGTTTTGCCCATTCTTTCTCTTCCAGAAAGAAATATGAGCAATAGTCTTGTTTATTCAACCATAAAAACATCAAGAAAAAACCGTCAACTTCGAGATATTTCTATTAGATTATTTATAGTTAACGTTTCTCATTAACTGTAAGTTAACATGAGTTTCGCACAGTCTCAACCGTCATCTGTTTCACCGTATTCGAACGTTGTTCCTTATAATTACAATAATAATCCATCATATCACGGTCCATCGTCATTTGATTTAGCTAAAAATGACAGTTTTTTTGGTTATCAAAACCCAGGGGCGGCTCTTCATGCGATAACACCAGCTACTAACGGAAGACCTATTCAAACCATTACGGCAGTGGGTGGTACAATTCCTGATATAACTCAGTTCGGTGGCTCATTCTTTGATTTAAGATCACCAGAAGAAATATTCGCCGATATGGATCAAAAATTGGGGAGACAACGAGATGCTGCGTTAGCTTCGCCAGCAGCAATGAAAATGCTTCGCTAGTGATATAAAATTTGAAGTTGAAGATGTTTTTTATACTTTTTTGAATAAAAATAAATAATTCTTGAAAGTTAAATGATCTAGATGACTTCGTTAATCAGGGTAAAGTGCTAAGCAGTTTTATGACATTTCAAAAAAAGCCGATTTCCTGACAATATTTAGTTTTTACACAATAGTAAATAAAAAAAGGAAACTAAATACTTCTGTGGTACTTAAAATGAAGATAACGAGGGTATTCTTAACCTCATTATGCAAAAACTATTTAAAATTGTACTTATTTTTGACATAGATTTTGATGACATTTGTTCTCTTAGAATACAAGTAGAATACAAGCAGAATAAATTTCGTTGAAATATTCGAAAACTTGAACTATTAAAAAACAAAAGCTTAATATTGTACGCATAGAGACTTGATCATGTGAATTTAGAAATAAATTTTTGTTCCATAATGTATAAGAGAAGTGAAAAATACGGCATGTCTAATTTCTGGATAATTTCTTTCATGAAAAGTGCTGGATCATAAAAATTTATCGTATTTTGTATATAATAGACACATTTTACACTTATCTGCAGCGTGTTATCATGCTGATATAGTTATCGTTGGACTTGTTGTTCTCGTAGACAGTTTTCACCAGTAGATAAATGTATGTTACGAATTGGAGCGACGACATTTTATTTCAGCAAAACAAAGAATGTTACTAATCAGCTGGTAAATTGAGATGCATAGCGCGAAAGTGAAATGTAATATAAATGTTATACGGTGATGTTGACAGCACTATAAAAAATAACAATGGTAAAAAACAGAATAATGCACGATCCACGATATCCCCGGTCGGAAAATTTATTCTGTGAAATTCTTTTCGGCATTCGAACTCTTGCTTAATCTGGACTGCATAGATTTAGGAAAAAGATAATCAAATTATTGTACAGCCGTAAGTGAATGATTTTAAGTTCTTCTTCGTTTCCTATCTATGCTTTAATTCATCTACTATTAACATAACGGCCTATGCATAAGTTTTCCACAAAATTTCGAGCGCTGTTTCTTCATATTCACACTATTCTGGAGATTTCGCGGTTTTAATACCTAGCATCGCGCACAATACGATATCTAGTTCATTTTACTTTATTTAATATTACAAAAAATTATACAGAATGTTTATGTTTTATAATTGTTGATTATTATATTATATGTACGACAGAAATATCGTATTGTGCGCGATGCTAGGTATTTACCTTAATCACATTCGCACGACAGTACCGATTAAACAATTAAAGCTATCAAATCAGTTTTTGAATGAGTTTTTGTAAGTATTTTGATATTTGTTTCATAAACATCTAACTCTAGTTTCAATATTATCTTCCTTAGTCTTAATCAAATTTCATGTCTCATTCTTTTATTCAACTCATAAGGATATAGTTCATGATATATATAGAAATTTTTTCATGAATTGCTCATAATTAATGAGAATATTTAATAAATACTGTGTAAACTCATTACCACAATATGTGTAAAAGAGCCTGCTGATTTTGAGCTATTGGAATGCAATTTTCACATATGTTGTAGGTAATGACGTGACGAATACCATTTACCTGAAGAGTATGTCAGAAATCTACTTCTGAAAAGTACCAGAGGTTTGTTTTAGGAAAGTCCATGTATTCGAGTGGACCGGCCGGAATTACTCCAATCGAGAAAAATGAAAAAATCAGAAATCTAACTACGTCTTATTGTATTTTAATTAACGTCATTAGAATAGGTGCTAATAATTTCAAATTTGTATGAACAGGTAGAAGAGAAGAAGAGCTTCAAACTGGTGCAATTTCTACCCGATTAGGACTTATCGTTAATTAGCAGAGGTTTGTTTCAGAAAAGTCCATGTATTTGAATAGATCGGCCGGAATTACCCCACGCAGTATAGCTTAGCGGCCGGAATCACCCCGGTGGTCCCTGTCTCCTTTTGAACACTGGTCGAAAACGCAGAGGGAGATTTTTACATCAGCGGATAGAGAACTGTTAGTTCTATCTTCATATTCACTAGCACACTTATCCGATTAAAAACGCCTTAGAAATACACAAAATACTAAGAAACTTTGTGCAAGTGGCCGGAATTACCCCATATGACTCTGTTTTTGACGCCTATGAAAAGATTTTCTTGATATGTTTTAGTAAAACTTTACCAAAACATTTTTAGTGATGTTTAGTTTTTGAATTTTTTCTCAATAAAGTTTTGCGAGAGAAAATTTTGTTTGATGCACATTGTGTAGTTTAGACTTTGCTCTTTCAAGCAAAAAAAATCGCGAAATCTCCAGAATAGTGTGAACATGAAGAAACAGCTCTTCATATTTTGTGCAAAGCTTATGCATAGATCGTTAGTCTCAGAAATGGAGTATATTTCCAGAATCTTGCCATTTCTTTTCCAAGAACTCCTCATTAAGAGATAACTAATCTCTGTAACAGTCAGTGGCACTATATCGTAAGTACACTGCAGGTAATGTACACGTTTATAGTGATGTGTAAGAAATAATTAAACAGTTACGAGATATATTACAGTTTAACAATTGTGCAATTATATTCAGGAAATGAATATAATAATAACAATTTTGAAGATATATTTTCTGTTTGAATGAAGTGTAGTTTCCACTTTTTTTTCTAATTTGGAAGAAAACAATAAAACTTTTGGGTTTGACAAAAATATAACATAACGTTAACTAGATAATTACTTTGTAGAATACATTCTCATAAAGGCACTCTGATGGAAACCAATAAGGACGTTAATATTGAACAAAGACTGTCGTTTTGTTCGTCACCAAATAAACTATTCAGCTACTAGTGACTCTTCAGAACTTTTATCCTTCTTGTTCCGTTGTTGAATACTCTCAAATAACGTCACGTTTCGTAAATACTCTAACCATCGCTTCGCTCACGAGGGAAGTTCAACAAGTGTAACTCCGATTTTCCGCTGAAACCTACTTGATTATGGATAATCTCCTATGCTAAATCTGGATCTAGTAGTCATCCGTTTCCATGCAGCCTTTGAGAATCTCTGTTCAAATTTAGAATCTCTAGCAGCCTATAACGAACTTTCATCTAAATAATTTAGTGCCAGATTGTAGAATACATCAAGTTAGCAATGTGTAACTAACAAACAAGTTTTCAACGAATAGTAAAAATTTTAGTTTTTTTTCATCCCAAGCAAGAGTTAGTCAGATTTTTTCCTCGTTAAAAATTTTTTCGTTATCGTCCACTACAGATTCTGAATTTGAACAGAGATTCCTAAAGGCTACATAGAAACAGATGACTACTAGATCCAGATTTAGCATAGAAGATTATCCATAATCAATTAGGCTTCAACAGAAAATCAGAGTTACACTTCGTGAACTACCCTCGTTAATTGACTTTTCAGTTTTTGTCTAATAGATCTCTCGTTTAATTTGTATTATCGTTCTCAGCGTCTATCTGTCTGTAGTATATATTATGTTATACATAAGTAAAAGGGTAAAATAATAAAATATATAATTTTTTTTCGGGTGTCATACAACAACAGCATACTTTTTCAAGTCTTTCTCATCTGCTATAGTCTTGTCAATAAGAGTGTTGATTTAACTTGGTGACAGTATTGTTTTCGATCTATATTAGAAATATATAAACTATTATAAATCTTATCTTCAGTTTTTCAATTTTCTTGTACATCCTTGAACGACACTTTTCTGTGTAGGAAATTATCAATCTTATTTTTGTTTCACCAAATAGAGGGAAGAATAAACGTTGCACCCTTTCACTATTTCTTCATAGAGTGCTTTCTTTCTTTTTTTTCTCCCTCTTAGGCTGTAATTAGTCGAACTAGAAAATGTAAAGTGCTACATTACTCGGAAATGCAGAATGCAGTTTTGCCTAACTCACTTCAGATAAACTTCCCCGTCATACACAAATCTATTCATGAACTTATTATAAATGAAAACGACCAATCGACAAAAAAAATATCTCCTCTACAACTCTTGCCAAGAAACTACCCAAAAATTTCTTAAGCTAACTGAGGGAGAACGAAAATATGGAGATTTAAAAAAATACTGCACTAGTTACCCCACTCTACGTTAAAACGGTGTGAGCGCTACGTTATCGCACGAACATCAGTTAACAAGTATCATCTTTCTATAATAGTGAACTTTTCAGATAACACGAATTTTACATGCGATTTTATTCTGATCAGTTAGTTAGTAAAAAATGGTGATCACTTTGTACATGAACATATCTTTCGTTGCGCCGTACTGTTATGTTTCATTGTGAAAAAATGTTTTACTAATGGTTTTTTCGCAAAAGAGAAAAATTCCGACAAAGAGTTTGTCATTAATGAACTACAGACTTTTCAGTCATTTAAATATTTTGTGATGGTCAGTTTTTGGCTCTAAGACACAAGAGGACTTTTTAATACTGAGATCAACAAACAGGATAACATGAAAAAAGTTGAAAATGGTGAGTGTGAGCACGAACACAGTGGTTGTTAATAAATACTCTCTCGATAGGTGTTTTCCGTTGCATTTCTTTTTGTATCGAAATGCCTACTCTCATCCATATTCAGTCCTCTGACATCACAGTTTGTAAAAAACCGTTAATTTTTGAAATATCGGAGTTAATAAGGTTTTTTTACTATCGTCCAAGAAATCCATAAAAAGGTGTATTAACGGGTTTTTCACGACTACTAAACGTCTAATTGATTCAAGCTGAATACAAATTGAGAATCGATTCTTATATTATATTTAACTAGCGGACTTTGAGAGGCTACAGAAATAACATTGATCATTGGTTTTTCATACACTCAGACCATTTTATCTTCCCTACGAACTACATCTAAACAATTGGAACTTAAACAATGGTAACGTAATTTGTGTTTGCTCCTACATTCAGCAAACCATTAAATAATTTTACTTGTAAAATCAATGGAAAATGCATCAATAGAGCAATTGTATCAATGATATGTCACCAACTCTGTTTCAAAAATATTTTCTTAAAATTAATGTTTTTCTACATATCCTTTCGTCGAAATCGTTACTAGACCAAGTAGGTTTAATAGTAATCTAATAGAGTCAGTTCACTTTTTAAAAAAGTAATTTTCAGAGAGCATGCTTCACTTGGATAGTTTGAAGTGAAGTTTCTCACTTTTAACGAGTCAATTCAAATTTTACGATAGTACAAGTACGGATTGTATAGAATATTGTACAGAAGATATGTCTTTCTCGAATTATATCTACGTTGACGTATGATCGCAATATTCTATTTGTTTTCATGCTATAAAGATCGGCGTATAGGCGCAACTACAAACACATTCAATAGTTATTTTTATAAGTAACGTCTATCTGTTGATCTACCCAACTAATTGACTGAAAACATTCTAATGGCATGTTAGACGTACAATAAGAATCGATCAATCAATGCTCATTCACATACCTTATCTAAGGTAACTGACTGCGCTAGCCTTTTTGAAGCTGACAAAATACACGAGTATGTGAGAACAGATATTTGATTTTTTTTCACACGTATTGAATCTTGAAGAAAAAATACTATAATCTGACGAACGCATCAGAAAGTTAGTTTATATTGCTTATCATAACTAAATGAAAAATAAAGCATTAACTTGATAATTTACGATTAATGCTTAGAATAAAAGTCAATACATAAGTTCATAACTCAATGATCAATAAATTCGCATAGCAAGCAAATGAAAAATACGCATTTTAGAAGCAGAAACGGAAAAAGCTACTTTATTTCCGTTTTTAAACGTCAGAGAACGTTGCAGAAAACTTGTTCTGCACCCATTTCTGTTTTAGATTTTACTCGAATATTTTTTGAATAGATTTTTTTCTCATTTAATGAGTCCACCAGTTGAGGAGTTTGATAGTTGTGACTTAATAGCCATCTTTAAGTTCCGTAGAAAATGAAAAAAAAAGTTTTAAGAACAAAAATAGGAACGTACCATAGAGTCCTATGAGACAGGTTCATGCTTAATGAGGATCTAGTTATCGGACTATGTCGAAATAGTTAGTTATCTCAATATTGCACAATGACAAGAATATCGAATAAAAGTATGTATTTTCTAGACTACCAATTAACGACCTTTTTTGATGATATATTGCCTTTTCACGGTGTACTACGGTTGTAATAATGTATACATTCACACTGATTGAACGTTTTCACTGCGAGGTACTGAAAAACTTTATCTATATTTGCTTATTTAGTTTTTATGTGAGCATATGATATAATAATACTTTTTTCTTGATTTGACAAATCGACTGTCAAATAATTTTTCAAGTATTATACATCAGCAGTGTTACATAATAGCCCTGGGCTACTCGGTAAATGAAAACATTATTTTACAGCTGAATTTTTCGAAATATATACCCTGACATATTAGATTTAAATAAAAATGAAGCGAAAGATGTATTTATAATTAAAGTGACAGTATTAGGTAACTTTTGTCACTAGTACTGTGAAATTTTGTCTTTTTTTCTCTAATCATTAATTCTCATATTAATTCACATCTGAAATTCGTTCAAGTGCAAAATAAGCCGTCAATTATAGAACGAATTTTATATTTACCAGATTGAGGGAGTTTATACTTAAAGACATAGATGTAGAATAAATTATTATCATACAAATAACTATTACTCCTCTGCAATTATTTTTTCTCTTGTTTTCAGCATGAAGAATGGTAATTATAGATAAAAATTCTGGAACAAGTAACAAATGTTTTTTTCTCTATCTTTCTTTTATTCTAGACAGTTGACTTTCATTATTCATACACATAGTTGAACAAACGAATACGTGTATTTTTAATTTATTAAATCATTATTGATGGTAAGTTTATGACATTTCTCTGTGGCATATATCTTCAAAATGACATTATGGCATTTGTCGTGTAGAAAACAACGTTGAACAAATAATAATTAAGCATAGTTTTAGTAATCGTATAGAATGAATAGAACATTCTTGAACTCAACAGTTTTAATACCTCAATTCGATCCAAAATTAAAATTTGTTGAGCAAGTTGTTCTAATAACTATATTCATATCAGCACTAGTTGGAAATATATCCGTTTTTTTAATTGTTCTACGAAATAAACATCGACGTTTTACAAGGATGGCATTTTTTATTTTACATTTAACAATAGCCGATATTCTTGTTGCATTATTTTCCGTATTCCCAATGTTAATTTGGAAATCGTCTCCAACATTCTTTGGAGGAGATATATTATGTAAAACGGTAGCATTTCTAATGTTAACAGTAACATATTTATCCGTTTATACATTAGTTTTGATGGCAATTGATCGATATAAGGGTAAGAACAATTAATTTTTGTTGTTGAACTAACTAAACGAAACTTAAAAATCGAGATTAATAATGTACCATCATATATTTTGTTTTTAATTATTGTTTTTTATTAATATTTAGCTATTGTTCATCCATTGACAACGTATACGTGGACAGCTCGTTCCGGTTTATTTCATATCATATTTGTCTGGTGTTTAAGTTTTGTACTAGCAACACCACAATTGTTCGTATTTCGAGCAGGAATTCATCCAGCTGAAATACATAATCCAAATGCTAAACTCAATTGTGTAGCAAAATTTCTCGGTAAAAATTCAACATGGGAACTCATTTACATTATATGGACAAATATTGCTCAATTTCTTATACCAGTCTCTGTTCTTATCTTCTGTTATGGTTCAGTCTATTTATTAGTTAGTAAAAATTTTTCTATGAGACGTTTAACACACACAAAAAATAATAGTTTTAATACGAGTATTAATCAATTGGGTACTACAAATAAATCGACTACAATATTTAATCATCTTGTTGATACACATATTCATATTAATTACCATTCAACAACGAGTAGACATTTTCAACAACAATATCAACAAAAGCAAAAACAAAAACAAAATCAAAATGTCAATAGTATAAATTTACTTCGTCCATCTGATGATTGTATATCAAATAGTGGTAGTACTACCAATACAACGGTTACATATCATAAAAAACAGCATCGAAAAAATTTTTATATACGAGATGCCATGTATCCAGTGGTCATACGTTTAAGTCGACAAAATAATATTTCACAGCAAAATGCCAATGTTTATCCACGACAACATTGTGCAAATTTTCTATCACGAGCAAGACTAAAAACTATTAAACTCACATTTATTGTTGTCATTGTATATATTATTTGTTCAACGCCATTCTATATTGGATCCATTATTATGACTTTAAACAATAAATTTATATCGCAAAAAACAGCAAGTAAGTAAATAGCCATCGTTTTTTGTTGTTGTTTTTTACAGTGTAGACAAAAAAACTCCAACAAGTTCTCAAATATACTCTTGGTAATTTGACTAAACAAACAGATTTTCTTTTTCTGTTAGATTGGCTTTATACAATATTTAGTTTAATGTTAAATTTAAATAGCTGTTCAAATCCGGTGATATATCTGACATTAAGTGGCGGCCTATTTAGGTAAGTAAACACGTGTGTATCTATCTTAATGGATCAAGTTTTAGTTTTTGATCCGAAAGATATAATAAGCCAGAACCATTCATAATTTTCAAGCGAGTTTTCTTTCTCTAATGTAAAAACTAAATTTCAATTAACTTCTCTTTTAATATATTTATATATTTAATCTATACGTTGTTGTAAGAAAATTTTACTAATTTCATGTCTTCTTGAGAATAAAAAAACCATTATTCCACTAATTATGCCATCTGGTTACATCGTGTGCTAGTAATTATGTAACAGTAACTGAGTTAACTAGTAATTTTTTATTTCTCATTTTAATCATTTTGCCTGTTAAACTATGTTTTGATAAAGTTCTAGCTATGATCTCACGTATGATCGAGACAATCACAAATCTATTTTAATATTTAAACTCTAATTATTATGGTACTCAAAGCCATAAATAATTTTAATAATTACTAAGATTATCATATATTCAATGTAATCATTATCTTTCTCTAGTTTGCTTGATTATACGAAAACAATCATACTTTCAAGACCTATCTTGTTTCATTTCCTGGCAGAACTTAGTATAATAGTCTTGTTGTCTCTTATGAAAAATGAGAAAGAAACTGCTGTTGTGCTCTTGGCCATTCTCACATCATTATGTTTTAGGAGAGTGTCAAATGTCTATTATTAACGTAATACCAGCTTAAAATAGTTAGAATGTTCAAATAGTATCATAATGTCTCGAATGAATTTTTAATTGATAATATTTTTCTTTTAATATTTTTCCGCAAGCAATGAAATTCTAGGAATAACAACCTTATTGCATGATGTGGAATCATATGACCCTTTACCTCGTTATTATTGAGGACGTTTTCTTATTGTACACGTGAGTTGAGAGTCTGTAATAATAATGATCGAATATAAGTACACTATGGTTTATTAACAAAGAATGTGGAAAATTAAAAAAATGAATGGGCTCTCTATTGTACATTTCAATTCAAAAGGCTAGTTTAAAACAAGATGAAGGTTTTGAAGAATAAAAAAATATAAACATTTTTATTCTAGTAAGAATAAATGTTAGATAATCATTAAAAAAGTCTTTATTGCTCAAATAAAAAAGCAAGTTTTATCTTCTTTCAGGAAATGTCAAGTAGTAACCGTGGTCTCTTTGCACGTTCAAAGCAGGCAACTTCTAGAAGAAAGAAGGAAAATATTATTATTATTATCAGTCATTATTTAATTATCAGATGAAGAAACGAAAAAACAAAAAAAATGTGTTCACAGTTTATCACTCTGTTTATATAAAAAATTTACGGGAACTAATATGACAGTTGACAGATGGCGTTACAGTACATCAAATTTAATTAAGTATGAAATCAATTCGAGACTTGATATGAAATAATTTTTTAGAAATTTAAAGCATTTTATGTACTAATTGCCACTTTTCAATAATAATAATTAGGTAAATGCTAAAAAACCTAGATAATGCGTGTAAAAAACAGTTTTTTAAGGAAGTACGCTTTATCCAATTAACATAGTTAATTAGAACATCTTTTTAGATGCTACGTATATAATAATAGAAAAGCAAAATTGAAACCATTAACAGTTATACAGTTACTTATACTAAAAGTAAATTATTCGCTATTATAATTACACGTCTTAGTTAGAATAAATAGAACGCTCTGTTTTATCAGCATTGTTAATAGGAAAAGTATTTGAAATTATTTGCTGGTTTGCGTTTGACTCATATCATCGATAAAAAAAAATTAAAGTTTGTTTAGAGTTAAAGAAAAGTGCTTTTTCGTATTCAGCACACTTGATAACCTGGAAAATTTTCTATTTTTAGCGAGGGGTACCGCCAAAAAGTTAAGAAAAATTTTCAAACAAAGTGACGCAGAAAAATCTCCATGGCAAAATTACACAATTTTGAAAATTTTTCTTAACTTTTTGGCGGTACCCCTCGCTAAAAATAGAAAATTTTCCAGGTTATCAAGTGTGCTGAATATGAAAAAGCACTTTGCTTTAACTCTAAATGAACTTTAATTTTTTGTCGGTGATATGCTATATCAAGATTTACATAGTACAAAAAGATTAAATTTTATTAATATAGGACTAACTATAATTCATTAATTTTGCTTAAGAGACAAAAAAACAGAATGATAAAGATCATGAAAAAATCTATAAATTTTCCAAGTAAATGTAAATGTAACTCAGCAATGTTTAATGGCTTAACGTCAGCCATTAACGTTGGTTTAATATTAATATTGAGCACATTGACATCAAGTCAAGATAATTGAGTCCCTTCAATAATTATTCTCATTGTATAGAACTATTCTAATCATCCATCTCTATGTGAATTCTTATTTTACTCTTTTTTTTTTCAGGAAACATCATCATGCAAGCAAATTTTCCGGACATCGATCAGACAGAACCAGCGCTATGAAACGTAGTTTAGCATGGTATGAATTATAATCCCAATCCATATTTCTTGAAGAATAACAGGATGTCACTGAAACAGATAATACTAATATGTTTTTCTACATTATCTGAAACAGATAATGTACTAACACTAATATGTTTTTAAATTTAATCGAAAATCAATGTCAAAGAGCAACGTACACATAATTGAGTCCAATAAACATGGTAATTGCAAACAGATTTCATTGACAATTACAGTATAGCGTTACATGTGCGCAGCGAGATATATTTTAGTGTCATTGCTTAATGATTTTATTAGCTGCGAATGCAAATATAGCGTTAAGATACTATACACTTGTAATTCTGCTTTTTTAGTGTCAAAAATAAAAGAACTGTTGTTGTTTTTTTTCTTAAACTCACACGCGTTACTTTTTACCTATCGTATATCTGCAGAGAAAATGCACAAGCTTTTTTTTCAAGCTGCGTATCAGGATAATAAATAAGATGATAATTGAACATTGCTACGAACAGTTAAAAAAGGATAACGAACACTTCCTCACAAAGATACTTCCTCGCATGGACAGTTCCTCATATGTACGTTGCGCAAGAGAACAGTTCCTCAGGAGGACTGATACACTTTGATTAATAATCAATATTATTTTTAAAGTTTGATTAGATCAACTAGCAAATTAATGAATTTTCTTTTTCAAATGTATGTAACTATACAAAGATGATGATTTTTCATCGTTTCTCCATTAACGAAAAAGATATTTACTATTTGTATATGAGGCAAAGAGTATAAACAGTATTGCCATTCGACTTGATCAACTGACAAATTTCTTTCTTTTTTATTTATGAAAACATGATGATTTTTTGTCACTTGTCAATTTGCGAAAACAACACTATTGTACCACTATATAAGGAAAATACTACAAACAGCATTGTTAGTTTGTTTTCATCGTAAATATGGAGACTATATCTAAAACAAGTAAGGGGACACCTTTAATGTTATACGACGGCTTTTTTGTAATATACTGCCCAGGCAAACGTTTTCTGGCAAAAAAACGCGTTGGTCTGCGTTAATTTCTAACGCGATTATCAGCATGCATTTTTCACCGTTTCAACGCGCGTTGACAAAAAAAAAGGCTTGCTTGGGTGGATCATACTACTATAAAATTATTGACGCAGTTATAAAAACAATTTCTAAGGAAAAACTTAAATATAAAAATTATGTCTCCTATCCGTGAATCCTTGAATTGGATTTTGATTAAGCAAGTTTTTTAATTGCTCTATTGGTAGTTATAAAACGAGTGAGACAATTTTATTTCAAAATCTTCCAAAAGAGTTTAGTCCCTTAATCAGTTTCTTAAACTACTTAGAATGGCTAGACTCCTTTCAAAAGGACTACTTTCATTCATTGTTTCCTTTAGAAAGTCATCGAAAATGCAAAATCATAGAATAGAAAATTCTCCTTATAAGATGGCATACTTTTTACGTTTCTACCCACGGGAAAATTTTGTCGAAGTTTCACTCACAAGAAAAACCGAAAACAAAAAAGAGCTAAAACTGATCTGTACTTTCTATAAACCTAAGTTTCCTTTTATCACAAGTATTGTAATTATTTTTAATTATTGTTATAGTTACATCTGGATGAGGTCTTATAAAATTTATGAAATAGCAGATGAGTCCTATTGAGACTCATAACCAAGTTAAAGATCTTTTTTATTCGATCGACTGCATCGTCTTCTCTGATGATTAATGAGTACATTTCTCGATATAGTATCAGCTTAATTACGACAAAAATAAATGTACATATGCAATGATCCGCTATATCCATCGGGAAATTTTAGTATATAAAACGCACATCCGTGCATATCGTGAAGTGAACTGGTACGTTCATTTGAACAACTTGCTAAACAAATTTTAATTTTGGATCGAATTGAGGTATTATGATTAATCTTTGTTTTTTAATCTGTGGAAATCCAGCTGTTTTATTTTTCACACAATTGTTAACCCTTTTGAACCAAATGAACTTATTACCAATGTAAAAAAAAGAAGAAAATTCATTAATTTTCTAGTTGATCTAATCAAACTTTAAAAATAATATTGATTATTAATCAAAGTGTATCAGTCCTCCTGAGGAACTGTTCTCTTGCGCAACGTACATATGAGGAACTGTCCATGCGAGGAAGTATCTTTGTGAAGAAGTGTCCGTGAGGAACGGTCCAAGAATTCATAAGATGTTATATGAAATTCATCAGAAAAGTCAAGCTGATATGAGTGCTTTTTGCTATCTACGCCTCCCTTTTTTCTCTTATTGAGACTTTTTCTCGTAAGGTCGTGTTTAGTAAGCTATGCATTATATTTTGTACTTAGCCGAAGTGGGAAATTGAAGAAAAAGAAAATTTTAAGGTTTATTTATCAGAACGGTATACAGGATTTAGTTTCCGATAATTAGATAAAATATGTATACTAATTAGGCAGTATATACTTTCCACTGATTTTGAAGAAGTATATAGTTAAGTAGCCAGTTGGCTAATGATTGTCCTTCCAAAAGGGAATCTGAGTAATAGTCACAAAGTTTGAGTTAATGGGAATGAGTACTATTCAGTATATTCTGTTGCTAAATGAGTGACAAATACTGGGAATCTGAGTAGTATTCACAATGTGGACGGATTGATATTCCAAGTTTTTTAAGGGTTGTTGGGTCCTTCCGTGCGGGGTCTGCCCACTATTACGTTCACTATTAGCCGCAAAAATTTTACTTGCACCATCGTGTAGAGCATCAAAAATAACCTAAACGTCTCGCTTACACTTTTTTGAAAAAACATGTGGAAAGGGGTTTTCTAGACATCTCAAGTTTTTGCTGAGGGTGAAACCGAAGTCGGTGAAAATGAACGAAACATTGTATAATTATACATCAAATTGTAGCTCTTCACGAGTTGAATCTAATGGTAAAGAAATTTAGTCTCGATCTAACTTTACATTCGAGTGGTATTCAATCTACTTAAAAAACTCCTGAAGTTTGATCTCGATTTTGTTTTAAACGCTCCGAAAGTTTTTCAGGGTTTTTTCGGAATAGGAACTACTTAGTAGGATCTAGAACTTTGCCCATACAACTACCGTCGGCACTTTCCATTTTTCACCCTCAGTTTTCCAGAAAACCCGTTAAAACCTTGTTTCATGAAAAGAAACGGAGCTAGTATGACTTTATATTCTTGTTCAGCATGAAGAATTCAATGTTCTTCAACGTTTTTTGAGGCTTCTTTGTGTTTACATACCGCAGTTTTCTAAAAGAATTTCTGAAAAACTGAGGGTGAAAAATGGAAAGTAGCGAGGGTAGTTGTATGGGCAAAGTTATAGATCCTACTAAGTAGTTCCTATTCCGAAAAAAGACTGAAAAACTTTAGCTACATACAAACTTGAGCTACAATCTGATGTATAATTATACAATGTTTCGTTCATTTTCACCGACTTCGGTTTCACTCTTAGCAAAAACTTGGTGTTTAGAAAACCACTTTCCACATGTTTTTTCAAAAAAGCGTAAGCGAGACGTTTAGGTTATTTCTGATGCTCTACACGATGGGGAAAGTGGAATTTTCGAGGCAAGAAGCTCTGTATAAAGTGAGCGGACCTGTGTGGAAGCACCTCCAACCTCCAAAGGATTCTTTTTTTCGATGAGCCCTAACTGCGATCTCATATTTTTAAGGAGAACAACTTATGCATAATTTTGGCCCAAAACGCTTTTTTCACAGAAATACGATGTAGTCGTTCTGCTTGAAAATATGATATCTCAGCCGAGGTACATCGAAAAAAGGAATCCTTTGGAGGTTGTGTTAGTCCGGTGATCTTCTACCAGGCGCCAAAATATGAGCCCTAGATCATGTAAAAACTTGGGTAACGTCCCTATAGTAGAATCCGCGCTTCATTGCGGGTCGCGAAGTCATAGTAATCTTACCGCGCAATACAAAAATTCGAATCGCGGACACATATATTCGTGAATTTCTCGCGTTCCGCGAAAAATTCGCGGTTGTGTCTGGAAACAGTTCGCGATAGGATCACTATTAAAATCGCGATTGAGCTCGCGACTAACTTTGCTTGTTTCGCCGCACGATCGCTATTGAAATCGACTGTTTCGCGACAGGATTGTGTTCAAATTGCTTATATCGCGGCAAGATCTCGGCTTCACAGCAAACCATCTCAAGATGATGAACCTGTAATTGTGAGTACTGTTAGAAACTTTAAAAGGATCTCGAAATCGACTGATTTCACCATGTTTTACCCGGTTTTCTCTTCGGGAACATAATGCAATCAAGGTGAATCATTCATCTCCGACTCTCCTCTAGGTTGAGTTTAAAATAAGTACACAGCAGTTTTATTTGTACACACGCTCTCGCTTTCTATAATTCTTCTTAACGTGTCACAGAAATTATAATAACGGTGTTAGTTTAGAAAATTTTTTATTGTTATTTCTAAAACAACTTCAGTCTTAGACTTCTCTAAGTTCTCTCATGTATTTCTCAATTACAGTTCGACATATAACTGGTATTTGATCTCAAAATAAAAGTGAGAGCGGTTGCCGTTTTATGGTTCGCTGGTGAATATTACCGATAAGGTAACGTTTGCTGTATGTGAAGAAATCTCTCAATCAAAATATATATAGCTTTTCTGTTCTGTGATGTAATGTCTCTCTTAATTCTCTCTATAACTCATCACAGAG